TGCATAGCGATTACAGGAGGCTGAAAATAATGTGCATAGGCTTTTTAAAATCTAAACACAATAATACTAAACAAAGCTAAAATCTGCATACACAGGAAAAAGTGTTGACACACACATAAATAAACAAGGTTGTTATAACACATAATCATGTCAACTAAACATGGTACGTATGCAGGTCTCCAACAACAACAAAATATATTTATATTGTTCCCAAGTTGAAGAATGCCAGTGCACAATAATTGGCCACAAAGGAAAAATAGGCACAATTTCCAAGGAATTGAGAAAAAAAACATATTTAAAAAGCATATTAACAAAAATGATAATTAAATAATATGCAAAAAATAAATCGCTGGGGAACAACTGAGGCCACTGAATCAGTTTGATAGGCAGAAATGTAATGGCTGGCACTCATAGATGCAGAGTAAAGAAGCACTGCATTTGTTGGCACATAAGACGATCCCTTTTATAAACACACCTCAAAAAGTGAAAGAAATTTTCCAGAAAAAAAAAGTGTCCATTTTGTGCATGCTTTTCTTTGTTAATTTTGCACAAAATATCCTGATCAGACCGCCAAAGCCTTATGGTTTTGTTCCATCGGTGGAGGTCTGAAATGACATTCTGCTGACCTATTACCAGGTTCTTCAGCATATTTTATTACCTGGAGATTTAAAACTTGTGTTGCAGAAGTGCCACTAACTACCGTTTTCCAAATCAGAGTTGTGATTATAAAGACAGACTTACACTATCGGTACAATACCTTTAACACACCTATGTCTAATCTAAAAATGTAATGTACTAACTGAAAATACTGACGCGATAAGTATAGGGGATGCAATAAGTACAGGGGACGCGATAAGTATAGGGGACGCGATAAGTATAGGGGACGCGATAAGTATAGGGGACGCGATAAGTATAGGGGACGCGATAAGTACAGGGGACGCGATAAGTATAGGGGACGCGATAAGTACAGGGGACGCGATAAGTACAGGGGACGCGATAAGTATAGGGGACGCGATAAGTATAGGGGACGCGATAAGTATAGGGGACGCGATAAGTATAGGGGACGCGATAAGTATAGGGGACGCGATAAGTATAGGGGACGCGATAAGTATAGGGGACGCGATAAGTATAGGGGATGCAATAAGTATAGGGGACGCGATAAGTATAGGGGACGCAATAAGTATAGGGGACGCGATAAGTATAGGGGACGCGATAAGTATAGGGGACGCACAACTAATCAACTTTCAGTATCATGTGATGATCTCATCTCTATTTCTCTCTGTCATGTTACCAGCAAAAGCCGCATCATCATCATTTGAACGCAGAGCACTCCAAGATCTTGGAATGGAAAAACTAGAGTGCGGACAACTAGGAAGAATAATATCATGCGTATGTTTACCTCTGCTGTACATTCTGAGACCCCAAAAAGTGCCTTATACACCAACAAATACAGTGGATGTAGTAGGGTCCAACAGATAATTTCAATTTGCCCATTACCTGCTCCCTCTCCATTATTAACCGTTTTCTTGTTTGGTACCCAGGAACACATCATATTTGATTTCTATTAACTGTCCTCTGGTAATAAAAGAGTTACATGTCAGCTGGTACCTTTTGTTGTGGTTTACAGCTGTGCTGCCATTTATGAATCTGTTGGCCCATCATATATGATTTTATCAAACTCCTAATTAATCACCTTTTACCCCAAACTTGTCAATGATCTGCAATTCTACCCTCATCACCCCTGAAAATGGGGCCCCAGAACCCACCTGTGGATTAAGTTGTCTAATGGCATCTACATATTTCTTCTTTTTTCATCTGTATCCATGAGTGTCAGTCAATTCATTTACTAATCATACAAATTAAGTAGTCATTCCCATACATAATTAGTCTACACTTTCATTATCAGTGTATACTGGTATAGTACATATAATACTTGCAATTGATAACAAGGGAAGTAACAGAAAGGCCATTATTGTTCATAAATGACAAGAGATCCAAGCAAAAGATTAAATGATTGGGATTAACAATTGTTCAAATGAAAAAGTGTTATAATGTGAACGAATATAAAGAGACTACAAATTAATTAACATTGAGAAGTTATTGATTTTATTAACAGTGGTCACATGCCCAAAATACACACACAAAACAAATAAAATAAACTATCGGTTGTTGACTTTGAGCAGACAAAGAATCACCAGACAGGCACTGATATGGGAAACAAATGGATTCAAGAAATTAAAGTGTCAGAGAAAACACAAAAATGAATTGGGAGGCCGCGTAAGCGCAGTCGATAGGAGACTCACTTTCAAATCCATCTGCGACTCGCTGCAGCCAACGGCCGGTGTTCGAAACCGGGCAGTTCCTGGGGTTTACCCAGCCGGTAAAGGGTACCAGAGTTAACACTCTGGGGTAAATGGAGGACCGTTGCTGTAGCTACGGAGTTGCGTGCGGATGGCAACACAGACGGACAGTTTCCTATCAGCTGTAGGTCCTGGTGGCAGAGCACTTATGGTTTATAACCATGTGCAATGATGCTGGTTCACATCTCCTGATTGATTTTATGAAGATGAATAATGACAGAGGCCAAATGTATTTATCAGAGACTGGATTCCACTCACGATATTGAACAAATTACACATGAAAAAATGGACAGGAGGTATAAACTATGCGCCTTATGTGATGTATAAACTTTGCAAAGGGATGATGATGATGCTGTGAGTTTCATGCAAACAGATTCAAATAACCTGATCAGCTGTGGGTTACCTATCACTGTTACACATGGATTTAAAAAAAAAAATAGAATATACAAAGGGGCTATGAAATACATTTGATAAAAATGGAAAAAAAAATCATGCAGAAAGGAATTAATTTATAACTGAGCATGTACTCAACCAATTACTGACAGAAGCATAAAACAGACCCAAAGAAACACTAACATTGGGATCTTGTCCTCGACTAATTACTGACAAATCGATAAAATAATCCCAAAGCAGATATTACCATTAAGTTATGAAGTTTGCACAATCCTAGAAGCAGTAGAACTGTTTCTGATCAGTGTGGGTTGGAGGTTAAACCAGCCTCACTACAAAACTGGTGCCATTAACTCCCTAACTTTTCTGGAAATTTGATGCGAAGGAAAGTTGATAAGAGAGGGATCTGACCAACTAACCACACATACCATGCCCTGGGTTGTGTTAAGGCCTTCACTCCCAACCACTAATAGCAGCAGGGGTGACCGCTAATCATTTGATCCCAAAAAAAGCCTTCACCATGTCTGCGTTATCATAAAGTAAGTAGCTCACTGCCCAGAGGAGCAGCAACAGCAGTCAATCAGCTTGCTCATTAGCCTGCAAACTCAGGACATTTTGATTCTCGCTATGGCAGACTACAAAAAGATGGGGACAACAGATCATAGTCGGCCATCTCAGATGTGAGTAGAGGTAAAAGACCCATTTCCATGCCCTCAGGAATATTGGGCCTACAGTGCTAGACTTATACTTTACAGACCAATAGGTACTCAGCGGTTGATGTGGGTCAACATCACACTGGCCACCTTTACTTCCCACCAGGGAACTGTATAGGGAAAAAAAACAATTAATATAAAAAGATATGACTGCTGCACAGCTGCCCGGAAGTAAATTACTACAGAGCATACCATAAATATGGGAGCAATGATGGTGCAGTACCTACCACCTCAGTAGTTTTGAATCCCATCCAACTTTTTAAAATTAACTTGGTCTTCCAGTCAAACCCAGTCTAAAATAGATACTAAGAAATGATAATAACCACATTATATGATTGCAGAATGGTCTTTAAAAACGCGGGACTAGATAGCATCATATGCCTAAAAAACATTTTTTTTCAATTGTAGTTGTGTAATAAACTTCCTTAAAAAAAAACTGTTATTGATTCTGGTTAACTATTCTGTTATGATAAACATTTAACAAAATGCATATACAATAATTAAAATATTTCCAAAATGTATTTCTGTGGCACAGTCATGTTGCTAAATTAACAACAATAGAATACTGGCAACAGCCAGGGTTTAGATTATGGCCTAGGCTGGGGGAAAAGCAATTAACATAACCTACAACCAGAAAGCCTAATCATTAAAAGCAAAATAAAGGACCCATTTCAAGGCTTGTGGCACTTCAGGCATATAAGGTTAAACCTATTTTTTGAAAGATCAATCAGCAATCAAACCACACCTCCGGTATTACTTCCCAGGAAATTACCTGCTACCCATTTCAGGACTGTCAACCCGTGCGCCAAGGTCAATTCTGATGCAAATCTAACCTGGTGCAGATTTGGCTTCCTAGTTACAGTTTCTATAAATTAATTTCTATAGATTAACTCGGCTAGTCGCCCCTATTTTCAAGAGCATTTTAAACTGGGTCACACACATTTTCAGAACTTGCACTTCTTATATTTCATTAAATTACTGACTCCAGCTGGTATATGTACTGTCATTTATGACAGAGATGAAGACACCCAAATGAGCATTACGTAACTGTTTAAAGAATTCAGCTGAATAATGAAATTGTGTTCCTCATTTTAAATGCCTTGCTAATAAATCACATAAAGGCTTGCCAGGATTATTTGCTAATGTGAGACTGGTGCCATTCAAAATGGGCCAAATCTGTATCATATAGTCTAGCTATCCTCATCAACTCCAACTCTGGCCCAGGCAAAGTTTCCACAGCAAAATGGGGTTACCAGAATCACCATACAGTGCTCCTTTTTAAAATATACCCCCCCCCCCCGACCCCAGTAATTAGACTTTTACCAGGAGCATAAAAATGCTTACCTATTATTACTAATTGTAAGCATGAAATTAATTCCTACAACATGCAGAATGTCATACCAAAGCAGAAACATAAAATATACAAATGTATGAATGAACTAAAATTGGCTTGGTCTATATGTTTATTTGGCTTTGATGCAAACTATAACTAATGTAGCTACTGCATTCAGTTCACAATTTCGCTTGAATTTAGAATCTAGGAAGCAGCTACGTCTCGCTTTGATGGGGGTATAAGATGCTCTGGTAGGTTATTAGGAAGATCGTGTCCCTCTAGCTTAATTTTAATGAGATGGTTGGCTAGGGCCCACTCATCAGCATCCAGCATGCCGTCCCGATCAATGTCCGCCAGCTTCCACACCTTTGAGAGGACAGTATTTGGTAGTTTGGATTTGACCATTTCTGACTTGGCTGCTGCCCCTGAAATCTTCCCATTCACTGGGTTCAGCTTGGAAAAGGAGTCATCATACTCATATTTGTTAGCTTCTACGACCCACTCGTGTTCTCCGCGGCCTGCGTCTGCTCCCTCACCACGGCCTATACCAAACGGGCTTTCTGTGTAGCCTTCAAAAGCTCCACCTTGAATGTTTCCATTAGCTTCATTCTTCTCAGCATTTTCTCTCTCTTCTGTGGGTATCATTTGCATAAGACGTGCAATGTCAGTTGCAAGCATGTTATCTACAACCTCAATAAGCTTGGGCCTCAGCTGAAAAAAAAAAACATTGAAAAAACATTAACTGCTTGTTTGCATTGCAGCAACAGAAATAAAAAAAAACAATTAAGTGTTTTTATATAATAAGGCTCTCTTGGATTAAAGGCAAATCAACACAAGATGCTACCAAAGTGAAGAAAAAAAAAGAGACAACATTCAGACGAATGGTTCATTCTATGCTACTGCCAGTGTGGGTTCCAGGGCCTCATGGTGGGGAAAACAAGAACAGACCCTCTGCCTCCACAACAAGCATGTTGTAGGAGTAGATAACTGGGGGCATCCTTCCAAGTCAGAGAGTACATCTGCCGGAGGCAAGGAACCAACAGTATGCATAACAATAAGCCAGATCTATGAAACAAATGTGCACACCTGACTCAGGTTTATGAACAAGACTAAAGTCGGGAAGAAGACGAATACCCACAACTTTCCGTTGGAGTTAACATCCAGTGAACATGAAGAAAAAGAAGACTCCAAAGCCTAAACCTAAAGAAGCTAACAAAGTCAGATTAGACAATGACAGAAAACAAAACTTTTTTAAAGCCAAAAATAGAATGAGATTCCTGAAAAAGGCACCTGACTTGAGGAGAGAGAGAAATTAAAACGCATGAATTCAGAAAGGAAATTTGGCTAGTGACAGAGCTATTTTTCATTAGAAAACAACTAGTTTGGCTGCAAACAGACAGTATAACTCAAATGAGCAATAATGTGTAGATCAACTGGAAATTAACTATATGTCTTGATTCAGCTGTGAAATTCACAAGAAACAGTCTATCACCAGTTAAAATGTATACTTAGAAATTCTTCAAACATCTTATATGAATCAATCTTACTATAACTATTTTTCTTTATTCACACACACACACAATTTCAACAAAAACTTTGAGAAAAGGGGGAGGAGGGTAAGAGGAAGGAGAAAATTAAAAACTTTATTTTCAAAGGGTCACAAATTGGGCATGCATCTTTTCTGCCCTTACAGATACCCATCTTTCACACAAGAACTGTAAAAGAAAAACAAAAGCGGGGATACAAGCACACCTCCATACACATATGCGCACCCACACACATATGCGCTCTCACGCATACATACACATATACACACACAAACCTACACTTATATATCTACACACATAAAACACCAACACAAACACCTTTATATAGACAAGCGTCTTATCATACACAAAGTAGAGACAGGAAGAGACAAATGCAGAAAACCTTAACAGGTAGCAGGGTTTAGAGTGAGTCGCCTGGCAGTCTATACTTTATACTGATTGACAAACGGTAGAAGAAGCAGACAAGGATACAATTATCAAGAATCACCTGGTGGAACTTTGTAAAATCCTGGTGCTGCAATTGTTCTTGGAAACGCTTGCAGTCGGGGAAATCCCCAGGAGAAATCTGGTGTTCCCGCTGAAGCTGAGCAAAAATTTCCGGCAATTTGTTGATCAAATCTTTCTTCTTGGAGTCTTTGCCGAACACTGAAGGCATTTCCTTTTTGAGCTGAGCTATGATGTAAGCATGCACCTGAAGAAAAAGAAGAAAAAAAGATGAAATTATTATATATTATTCTTCCTTTTCTTCTGCTCTTTACCTCCCAAAAGAGCACAGCCCTCAACTATCTGCAGATTCCCCCTATTTGTTACTATCATATACAGCTCACCTCATGTCCTCCCCAACTTTCTTCACCTCTTTTTCTAATACATTTCTCCATGTGGGGTTTTTTAAGGGGGTCGGGGTGGGGCAGCTTCATTCCTGCGACTCTGTGGGTCTCAGTGAGAGGGTCCCGTAGTTTTAATATCAGGTTTTCCTGGGAGTTAACCCAGTCATTAAATGCTTGAGAAAGTCGGATGTGTCTGCCAAAAGGCACAAATACTTCAGCTTTGCTGTAAACATGCAGAGCACATTTACGTCACTTGGGTGAACGAAAAGAAGAAGATATCAGATTTTCTAAATGTGTGTCCTATCCAACCGACCCGCATCTTGATTCACTTTAAATATTTTATTGTGTCCACTCCTAGAACATGCAGACATTGTTCCATTTATGCTATGGACTGAACTGATGTTATTTCTACACATAAGAAAAGAATGGTATACCCTCTTTAGATCCTGGGGTACTGAAAAGGACTTTAGACTTCGCATACAACAGAAAAACTGCGGAGGAGCTGTAAGCCAATGCGCTTACTAAAAATCACTTAGCAGTTGGGAATTGAGAAAAAAGTAGGCAGTTAAAGGGGGGTGGGGGGAACAGTCTTTGAGTCTGCACAGCCAGTGCTATCCCCACAGACTGCAGTTTGGGATTTTATTTTACAGGGCACTGCTTAGGCAAAACTTTAAAATCCACCCAAGAAAACAAAGATTTTGAGAATGTACATCCTTGCTGGTGCTACAGTTAGTGCATTGTGTGATCAATGGGAGGAGATTAGCAAATTAGGACGATAACAGAGTTAGCAATAAATGTGATTTTTTACAAACTATTCACAAACTGAATGAAACAGGCGAACACTAAATGTGATTTTTTACAAACTATTCACAAACTGAATGAAACAGGCGAACACTAAATGTGATTTTTTTACAAACTATTCACAAACTGAATGAAACAGGCGAACACTAATTGTGATTTTCAAAACTGATTTTCTTGACCAGCCCTGTCGAAAAGCAATAATCGGATATTATCGTGTCCGGTGGCTCCGCTCCCTAAGACTGATCTCTGTTCTGTCATGTGAGTAATTCATTTGCTGTTCCACCCACTAACACTGATCTATTTTCTCATATTTATCCATGCTATTTGTTAAGGTTATCCACTGTGGTGCATGCAGTTTCTGAGACAAGATGCTGTTTCCGAGATAATCTTTCTTGATGTTAAGATCTTTTAGAGTGTCCATTCTTTTCCTCTCTGTCCATGATATTCTAAGAATTTATCTATAGCATTTCAACTCAAAAGCCCCAATTTCTTCCTTAATGATTGTGAGACAGCCCATGACTCACATCTGTATGTCCTTTATGCTATCAATGCACATGTAGATACGATGCTATCAATCCTCGCTTTTTTGTGTATCCCTCTGCCTCTCAATTCTGTCAGCTGCCACAGCATACTCCTGCGTTTCTCCCTTCCCAGGGAAAGGCCAAAAAATACAGACAGTCTCCTTATGAGGAGGTTAATCGGTTTTCTTTCAAGACATCTTCAAATTGTTTTAAAAAATATCCATGACGTTGTCATAATTCTTCTATAAAAACGCATCTCTGCAATCTTCATATCATTTATTATTAATCACCAGACTGTCATGACTAACTTCCATAAATCAGAATCTCATCCTAAGTGATGACAACATTTGCTCGTCTCACTGCTTCTGTGACTGGTACAGCAAATTGGCAGGGGCTTTTTATAGTGCTCACAGAAAATAAAGAGATCTCATCAACTGACTAGAATGAGAAAGATCAACTTAGGAACGACGATATCAGGAGGAGAGTCGACACAGAACTAATACTGAACTTTATAATATGGACCACGCAAATATCAGAGATGCTCAAAAGTACTGTATGTAAGGCTATCAAAGGGGCCTGTTCCAAATAACTCTTCTTAATCTGACGCCGTGAGGCCTTCCAGGAGTAGAGAAAAGAAGAAAAAGAAGACTGCTTCTTTCTCCACAAGTTGCTTGTGTAAATGCTTCAAGCCACAAGTGTTGAATCATCAGTTTTATTTCTCTATGTGCTCAATCCAAGCAGCTCACATGCTGGGAAATCAATATGTCTGACATATGGTGCATCAGCTGCGTTACCGTATGCCTCGCATATAAAATGATGCTCATCAATATCAATTTATAATCAATTCAACTTGGTTGACAACTCTAACATAAGGGAAGGGGGAGGGAGAGAATGATACTTTATAACTGCTGATTAGATAAATGTATATATACAGTAATCGTCAACTTGATCGTCATATCAATTATTGTTTGTTTACAGACCTTGAAATATTCACTTCACACCAACAAGCAACTACAATCAGAAGGCAGAGATATAAAACAAAAATTTAAATGTCTTTATGTAACGATCCCAGTGCTGCTGAGAACGACGTTTTTGCTAAGCCATTTAAACTTATGCTCAGAAAGCTTTTCAAAACAAGTTAGAGAAATGTCTGACTGAATATCAATGGATTAATAATAGACAATCGAAGAAATGCTGATGACAGTTTTATTAGCAGAAAGAAGACAGGAGCTATATATATATATTCTATGAAGACTGACAACAAAAGATATACCCAACAATGAGCTCGTGTTTTTTAATGATCCTGAGAGCAACTATCCAGCAGGGCCTTCTAAGCTGGATAGGTCAAAGGGCACAGATCAGACACTGAGACAAACCTGGTCCGCCAGGACGTGAGTTGAACCATAAGGGCCCGCACCCCAACTTTGTAAATCCTCTTACTATTATGAAGTATTAGATATATAAGCCTCAGACTAATTTAAGCGGGGACTCACAAGGAAATTTTAAAAAGACTGTGCTACAGTAGAAACAACTAGAATATGTATTTATGCAGATTGTAGTTATATTAGAAGAAAACTAACAAGAAACTTTGCTAAGTATTCCACAGCAACTGGAAATCACAATGTGGAGGCAATAAGGTCACTGTTCTAACAAATGTTTTTGCTTTACAGAAACCATGACCCACACACACATAAAGTGAAGATTACTCTACCTACATGTATACATGATCACCAGAATCACAAATCAGGTCAATCTTCTGCCTTGCCCCCGACCTAGATGGCTAAGATTTTCAAGTATCTATCTCCTTGCCTTCTCTGTGCTCTCTGTTCATCAATCTTGTCAGTTGTTATTAAGTTCTCGAGTCCATTCCTTTTTGAAATATGTCCAAAAAATACAGACCGTCTGTGTCTAATTTATCTAATCAGTTTACAACTTCCTTTTAAGAAGGATTGCCTTGTGTTTTTTTTCTTTCTATCCTCCTATGATATTTTCCTTTTATTCTTCTCAACAAGACAATGGCTTGAATCATTACAGAAGTCCACTGTCCGTGGAGTCACCTTTATTTTTGTTCCGGGATACGCAGGCGTCGATAGAAATGAAAGAGCTGACAGGTTGGCTGGATCCGCTATCACTACCGACGGTCAGCCTATGGATCATGCTGATATTATCAATGCCCTCAGAGAAATGGGAAGGATAGACGACTTTGGTGGCAGTGAATCCACATCACTTGCCAGAATGGCAGACTTGGGAATTAAGATCGGCACAGCAAAAAACGAGGCGCACACCAGCTACGCCAGAAGACTTGTTAATCAACATAGAACTGGTACTATTAGCCATCGGACGTTGGGGTTCATACTGAGGGGAGGATCTGAGCACCTATGGACATGTCCGGAGTGCAATGAGGATAACCCAACTAACTAACTAATCTTCTCAACAACCACATCTCCACTGCAGGTAAATATTTTCCAGCTTGTCTGCTTACCGTCCTTATCTCATAAGCATATAACCAAAAAAAAAGGTTCTTTATAGTATTACACAGTATAATTTTCTGTGTTCCGTTGTTAATCTCAACATTTTTATGTGACAATCAAGAATAATATTTAAAAATACAGACAATAAAAAAATCAAGAACACAAGGAACAACAGTAATGTTGTGCTGATGAAAGTCAGCTGTGCAGAGGCAACAAGGAAGAGAATTCATGCTCTCACAGAACAAATGGAAGCATTCACTTCTAAACCAAAACCAGACCAGGAACTGCTGTTATTTTTATACATGAATTGGATTCCAAGAAAAAATAGTTCTTCCCAAAAGTAATGTATCAATGAAAATCAAATTCCCCAATGTCCCTCTGTGCATAATTTAGTTTAGTGATATGTGATAGGATTTTTTTTTTAAACTAAGATAATAATTAAAATAGCATTTAACTATACAAATTCATCCTCTGATCTGACAAAACACACACCACTCTGTTTTTCCCTAGCTACTTCCCTCTTTGTTGGTTATAACACAGACAGTGAACTGCAGTTGAAACTCTTTTTACATGTAAAAATGAACACAGAATTTAAAAAACTTCACTATACAGTATGACGTTTTTCATATACAATTGGAGCCTTTAAAGAATTGTTTTTATAGTGAATGCCAAATATTTAAATCTATTTCAATAAACACTATTTACAATCTAAAACATGTGCCATATGATAGACAGATATCTGTAAAATGGCCTAGAGCACTTGTATTCACTTCTCAATAGTCAGTAATGTTTATTAAAACATATCTGTATTTCCCCAATTATAAGACACACCTTGATTTTGGGACAGGAAATTTTGAAGAAAAAAAAATAATTAATATGATTACATAAAGTTACTGAACTCATATTTTATTCAAATAGTTTGTAGCCATCTTTATGGCAAGGCTAGTGTATGACACACAAGCATGCTAAATCCATTTAAAAAACTTGAAGCACCAATTGTGCCCTCTTTTTAAAAATAGTAACTTGTTTTTCACCTGTTATAGTTCTTGTCTCAAGCCAAACCATCTTAGTAGACACAGGAATTCTGATGGCTCTTTAATCTAGATCTATAATTCCCTATTTCACCAGCTTACATGTAAACTGGCCATAGTGTTTACCTGACAATTGCTGCACAAATGAAAGGCATTCCACATGAACAACTCAAAGGACTGCACCAAGCATCAATAGTTTCTGAGGACCTGCCTGTTCACATTTCCAGACCCAAGATTAGAGTAACTTCCCTTGCCATTCATGTCTCCTTAGGTCGTTGGATCTCTCTTATGTTGGGGAGGGTGTTATGATATGACTTGGTTTGGCGTTCACTAGGCGTACATAATGTTCCTGGGAGGTTGTGAATCTTTTTCAGGTGCCTGTGCACAAGTAAGAAGTACTGCTGGGGGTTGCGCTGCAAGCGTGATAATTCTTGGCTATTGAAAATAGAATGTTTTACGTATCTTTATGTTCGAGAAAGAAAGCAGTTACAATGAGTGTAGGAATAGAAAAATATTGCCTTTTCCATACTCCCGAACCATCACGCAGGTAGCAGAACATGAAAATAATCACACAAAGCAAGCAGTAAGAGGACGAGAAAAGAGGCAATGGTTACACCGTTCAGAATAAGGAAAAAATGACTCCCCGGCAACATAGGAGAGGTCCAATGACTTAAAGAGGCATGAATTGCAAGCGAAATTACTCTAATCCTGAGTCTGGAAACATGAACAGCACCGTTTCTTTTTCCCACAGGCAGTCTTGGATTGTTTTCTCAGTTAATGAGGACTAAATTTACGTTCAGCAGCATGATTTCCATTCACCTTTGCAAACTGGATCAATTTCAACTTAAATTCAGCACTGTACGAAAATCTTTTTATTTTTTAAATAGACATTTATGGACAAAATATAATATGTAAGAAGTGTGAAACAGTGAGTACAAAGACAAGTACAAAAACTATTTCAGTGGGAAATAACTTTTAATTTTACTACACACCCCCCCCCCCCCCCCCCCCCCCGAAATAATTTTCTAACAAACCATTTGGTTAAAATCGACTAACACTGTATAAGACACACAATGTTTTAAACCTATATTTGTTTTAAATATGTGAGACTTAAACTTGGAGAAATACAGTAGTTTGTAAGTGGTATGGAAGGCAACATTTTTTCAGTCGGTTAACATTTCTGGTTTACTCTAGTTGATCTCGATGACTGACACACTACAAATAGTTTTTACTGAGTTTTAAATAGCCCAACAATATCACAAGACAAAACTGGAGCCTGGAAAAAAATCTATTTTGTAATAAATTCATTTATTTAAAGGCGTTCCTTGTGTACTGTTAAAATCTAAACCAATTCTCCTACCCTTAAATCTCTGAGTCTTAAGGAATGCATCACAGGTTCAAAGATTCCTACCTTGAAGTCCAACCCAATGACTCTCTTTACCACCACTAGTGCCTCTGATGTTAAACCCCCTGGGACTCAATGAGTTAACTAAACATGAATATAAACTCACTTTGTTTGAATACACACATAAGGAATCATATTAAACACATAAAAAATTAGGCTCTCCTCCAAACTTCTACCCCAGCGAAACAAATACCCTAACAGGGTCTCAGTCATATTAAAAATGTGTGACTTCCTGCGACGAACAAATCACGGCAATACTAGGATTACCTGTCAAATTTAACACTGCAGACGATAGTAGCAAGCGATAATAGCCACTGCAGATGATAATAGCAGATGATAATAGCGACCGTTGACAATTTCGAGACACGCAACATTACAGACGATAAAAGTGACATGGCGGGGATACAGCGCGCTCCGATGCAGATTAGCAATACTGTTCTTCCAATTGAGGATTTAGCAGCGGTAGATGTGTCGATTTGCATTGAGTAATGGCAGATAAACTAATCTGGTTGCAACGGCTAGCTACCCATAGGCTAATAGACAACTTGCAGGTTAATTCTTCCTGCCAGGGTGCTATGTCGTTGGCAATGCGGTAGGTGGCTTCTGACAGATACTTGTGGCGCTGTAGTACTGAGTGTAGCGTGCGCACTGGCTTGTTCTTTGCCAGCTAAACATATCAACTGAGAAAATAGTCATGATGATGTTTTACTGGCTCTTCGATTAAACTCACCGCTGCCAGTATCCCCCACGCTGCTACGCGCGGATGGAGAGGGGGGGGGGGGGCGAAGCTAAACTAGATGCCTGGGATTCACGAGCGAGCAAATAAATTGGAATAAGTTGCAGGAGATGCGGTAGCTGCTGCTCGTGAGTCCCAGCTATCTAGTTTAGCCCCCCCCCCCCCATCCTCGCGGCGCGTGGGATACTGTCGGCGGTGAGGCATAGTCACAGAAACAGGTCCGCAATTAACATATCGCTGAAACCCTGTTACAGCATTTGTTTCGTTTTTCAGCGGATCCTAGTTTTGCCGCGATTTGTTCCTCGGCAGGAAGACCGACAAGTCCGCATTTTTCAGTACTGAGGCCCTGTTAGGGTATTTGTTTGGCCACCATATTGCCGAGGTAGAAGTTCGGAGGAGAGTCGAAATTATATAAACTTACCTTTGCCAGTCTAGCTCTTTTGATAAGATCATTAAGCTTTCGTAAGGCCGCATTTCTTGGTAGCATCTGAAGGTCTCGGAACAGGTCCTGCTCTTCTAATTCAAACAGGCGCCGATTTGTGTCAAACTGCAAAGGCTGATCCCAAAAAGATCCAATGTAGACTCTGGCAACTTCTGGCGTATTTAGTACTTTACCTAAAGACCACATGAGGGCTCCGTACACTCGCATCAGCTGTTGATGATTAATCATGTCAGCTTTATTCAAGACTATGCGTATTTTATCATCGTGGCCCTTGATAGCTTCAATTGCTCTTCTGAACTCATCTGAAATGTCTAGTTTGTGTGCGTCAAATAGTAAAATTATCCTGTCAACGTGTTCGGCAAACCATTCCAGAACACCGGCAAAATCATAACCTCTGTCTACTCTTTGCTTCTCCCCTGATAAAATACCTGGCGTATCCACAATGGTAATGCTGTCTAGAACTGGATTTTTCAGCTGTGAACATTGAAATCTGTTCAGGAAGGCGTTTCCAAACTTTGTTAATGGCTTGAATTGCTTTTTCGGGTCAACGACAAGAGCATTTCCTGGTATTACCCCTTCAGTCTCTGCCCCCATAACGACGATAAATCGGTCCGTTGTTGGCTCAGGACCAATGCGAATGCCCGGAAAATCTTGTTCCAACAAATACCGAATAAATGTAGTTTTACCTGTAGAATACTGCCCAATCAATAAGATCATTGGCTTAGCATCGAAATCTGGATCATCAAGAGCCGGGGAATGAAAATCGTGGTATTTGTAGGTTTCCTCCAGAGGCAGGAGTTTATTTCTGTAGATTTTTTTCAGCCCCTCGACTACATTATTATACACCTCCGGTTCTTTTTTCCTCCGAGTGTCGTCTGACATCCACCGTAACATCGTGACAATATTAGAGCTGAGGAGCGACACACAAGAAACAAAATATATCAGTAAAAACTTTACTAAAATAAACGACGCCGAAGGGTGACTAACTTGGTCCCTCTACGATGTAATCAGGGGTTCCTTGCTGACGATTACACCGGAAACGTTTGATCGAATCAAGTACGCATGCTCGTGGCCCCGCCTATTCCTTTAACCCCTGACCTCTCAAGGCCGGCTAGCTGACGTCAAAGTAGTGTTTTGGTTCCCGTCTGCAGCCAGCAGTATCCTACAAGTACGGCCAGCAAATTTTCCCCCAAAGCCGTCTCTAAACTAAAGTTTTATTATAATGTGGCAGATTGCCGGCTTTGAATTTATGTGACATATTTGATGTAGCAAAGATACACACACTGCTTTGCTGAGTAGTTATTTTAAACTTACCTAATTCGTAGGACAGTTAACTGAGCCCTTTGTTGACTCACAAATTGAACATTAAAGATTGACTTGGAGTGGTAATTAACTGTTGGATGTTTTTTTTTTTTTTTTAAATCAGTACAGCTGTTTATGTTCCAATTTGTATAGTAGTTACTGCTATCATTGATGTATATGGGAACGCTAGTGAAGTTTTATATATTGGGTTTTTAATTATGAAACCAACTACTGGACGTAAATTTGCCTAGAAAAACCACACAACAGCCACTGGGTTGGTTCTGCAACGTCCTGTAAAGGATGCGCAACTAACCTAACTTATGAAACCACAGCTAGATAGAAATTAAAATATCCAATCCAGTCATACCTCAATGAAGCCTGTAAGTCAGTTCTAAGCGGAGATATTGTTAACATTTTAGTTGTGTGTACCACCATAGACGAATTATAGTGTGTTTTGACACAAGATGGATTCCTGGCTGTATCCCAGTAAAATAAGCTGAAATGACTAAATGTTTACATTTGTTGGTAATAGCTACTTTGTTTCAAAACTAATCCCTTAGCAACTGTAAGTAAAGATTAACTGTCCCTTTTCCACGCCTTTAGGCGTATTGGGAATATAGGGCTAGACCTATATTTTTGTAGACCAGTTGGCACTTGGTGGGTGATGTCAGCATCACGCCAGTCACCGTTACTTCCCAGGATTGCACCTGGTACCCACTAAAGACTGGGTTGACCTGGAAGTCAAGGTCATTAAAAAAAAAAGTCAAGCTCCATCAGGATGCGAACCCACAACCTTCCTATCTACAGGCGGGTGTCTAGCCGCTAATACCACGATGACTCCCCTTTAGCAACTATATATATCAATAATTAACATATAAAAATGGTGACAGGCTAACTATTTTTAAGCAAACAGTATAAATTTATGGTTTAGTCCGACGAGCCTGGCAAGATGTATACCTGCACAGAGATGAGGTCGAAATATTGATCATACAGAAATGCAGATATTATGCGATATTATCTAATTACCATTAAAAAAAAAATGGCTGCCAGCTCACTAAATTTAAGTAGGCACTTTAGGAGTTAATGATTAAAACATGTTATAACCACTTCATTGCACTGGCTACCTTATCCTCTAGAAAACAACATTGGAATAGGTAAGGCAGCAACACCAAGAGTTTGGGATAACAGAAATCTCTTGATTAAAACAAAACTCTGGCTATCCTTCGAATAACGGGCACTAAAGATGGCGGCCACAAAATATTCATTCGAGTCGCAGTCACGTGTCAATCGCGCACTTCTGGCTACTTAATTAGCGGTTTTCCGCCAACAACCGCTACCGCCATGTGGCCCCCACGCTGCATTAGCGTTAGTGGTGTGGATTGGGGCTAAACTAGATGGCTAGGACTCACAAGCAGCAGTTTCCGCATCTCCTGCAGCTTTGCTCGTGAGTCGTAGCCATCTAGTTTAGCCCCAATCCACGCAGCATAGGGGCCACGAGGCGGTGGCGATAGTCGCCGGAAAACCACAAATTAAGTGGCCGGAAGTGGGCAATTGACACGTGGCGGATATTTTGCGGCCGCCATCTTTAGTGCCCGTTATTTGAAGGATAGCCAAAAACTCTTGTCTATCAGGCATTTGTTTTCAGCTCTCTGCTTTATAGCAGTGAAACTTTGTCAAATTTTTTTTTCACTAGGAGATATAGCTTCCAAATGCAATGCCTTAGAAGAATACTTGATTTTAAGTGAAAAGATAAGATCACAAATGCTAAGGTATTTGAAAGAGCAGGTATCACAACTGTTTTCTTAATGCTGAGTCTATGAAGACTCGGGTGGCTGGGTGACACCTGGAGAATAGAGTATGGTATAGTCTTTAAGGATGTCCTCTGTGGTGATTTACAGATAGGAGAAGATGTTGAGGCCGACCTCTACTACAGTATAAATATGTGTGCAAGTAGGTCATGAAAGATACAGGCATTGAGAGGGATTCATGGGAAGAAAATGCCATGGACCGTGTTGCCTGGAAGGGGGTAAATCAGGAAGGGAATGAGAAGGAATAAGAAATGATTGCAGAAAGAATAAGAACTGAGCATCTGAGAATAAACACACTAAAAATAAAACAAACGAGGACAACAACGTTCCTGAAATCCTATGCTAGAATTGTAGAAGACTTTTCTTAACGCCAACAAGTCTTGCTAGTCACACTTGCCATCGCCATGGGCTGTGAGTCTCATGCCTCCTCATAGCACAATATAACAGTAATGTCTGGACAGACTGAAGGTGCCAACAACGTCTTTTAGGAAACTCACTGCAAAATCTAATTATCATAAGCCTTCAAAGGACATACCCTGTGTTGCTTGATTGCTTAAGGTTCACTGGGAGATGAAAGGGGAACTTCTTAGCTTAAGGTTCACTGGGAGATGAAAGGAAACTTATCAGCTTAAGGTTCACTGGGAGACGAAAGGGAACTTATCAGCTTAAGGTTCACTGTGAGATGAAAGGGAACTTCTTAAGCTCCACTGGGAGATGAAAGGGAACTTATCAGCTTATGGTTCACTGGGAGATGAAAGGGAACTTATCAGCTTAAGGTTCACTGGGAGATGGAAGGGAACTTATCAGCTTAAGGTTCACTGTGAGATGAAAGGGAACTTATCAGCTTAAGGTTCACTGGGAGATGAAAGGGAACTTATCAGCTTGAGGTTCACTGGAAGATGGAAGGGAACTTATCAGCTTAAGGTTCACTGGGAGATGAAAGGGAACTTATCAGCTTAAGGTTCACTGGGAGATGAAAGGAAACTTATCAGCTTAAGGTTCACTGGGAGACAAAAGGGAACTTATCAGCTTAAGGTTCACTGGGAGACGAAAGGGAACTTATCAGCTTAAAGTTCACTGGGAGACAAAAGGGAACTTATCAGCTTAAGGTTCACTGGGAGACGGAAGGGAACTTATCAGCTTAAGGTTCACTGGGAGACGGAAGGGAACTTATCAGCTTAAGGTTCACTGGGAGACAAAAGGGAACTTATCAGCTTAAGGTTCACTGGGAGACGGAAGGGAACTTATCAGCTTAAGGTTCACTGGGAGACGAAAGGGAACTTATCAGCTTAAGGTTTTTGTGGGAGGTTATGTTGTTGTGAGTCTCTTTAAGACGCCACAGGTACCTGTGTACAAGTAAGAAGTACTGCAGGGTAAGCCCTAAAAGAGCGACTGTTTGTGAGGATCAGACGGGATGATTTTGTATGTCTACTGGCTACGTTCCTTGATGGTGCCCCCCCCCCCCCCCCCCCCCCCCCCCACACACACAAAAATAGGCCACTGACAAAGAACGAAGAAATTAAGAAACGTCTTGGTTGTGATATTCACAAACTATCAGGCAAGTAGAACAACGGTGTGAGCAGAGAACATGTGAAAAGAGAGAACAGTTAAACCGTTGAAAATAAGGAATACAGAACACCACCACAACATAGGACAGGCCATGGGACTGATTGTGGCATAAGTGGTAGGGGAAGGAACTCTCGCCATGGGGGCAAGTTTGTGATAAGCATGCAAAAGACAGAAAAATAAAAATAAGGTTTCAATCATAGTCAGATTTTGTTTGGGAAAACTTGTCAGCGCCATATATCATTAAAATTGTTTTTTCTGCCAAATTCCATTAGCTGTAGAACATTTTTTGGGGTCTTGCTTTATTCTTTATCTTCTTTCTTTTATTTGTCAATGTCTGCTTATGCCGCTAGGCATTGTAGTTCATCACACGATTGGCAGCCGAGCCACGACACGCTCGATCGCTTGATATGCTGTGATGTTATGCAGTCTCAGGGTGTCAGTGACTCCTTTATTCCATATTCTTTTGTATAATTAACATTATTTCTTTTATTTTCAGAAATATCAATGGGCCGTATCTTTCTACAGCATATAGGAGGCTCACGCCTTTTTACATGTGGCAATTGTAACATACCTCTAACCAACAGAGCAGAGCTGATTTCTACACGCTTTACAGGTCACTGATTGTAAAATTAATGATAATAATATAACTTGTAGTGAGAGGTAGTAGTTAATGGTTGGGTATCTTGTTCTGGTCCATTATTTTTGGAGTCATGTTCCTCTTGGGCAGGTTTTTATGTGTGTCTTAGTCTTAGTTAAGGTTTCAGCATCACTGCAATCAGGTTTCCCCATACTTGCTCCTTTCCTGTGCCAGTGCAAATCAAATCAAATGTCCCTCGCTGTGGCATGTGAAAAACTGGTGAACAAACATTTATATGTGTGAACTACATGAGGGAGTAAATGGCTCACATTATATAGACTGCATCATCCAGTAAGTTTGATAGAAAAATTTCCAAACAATCTGCATATGTCTATTGTGCTATGATGGCAAGGAAATGAAGAGCATAACTTTTGTCTTTCCAAAAGAAACTGTATTCCAGTGTGTCAGTGTTTAAATGCCATTCTTTTTTCTTATTTGTATTTTTTTTTTCTGGCGGAATGTCAATGGCTCCTCAATACTTCAACCAATTTTTTTTAGAGCTATCTACAAACTGCCCTGCATGAGTTTCTTCATCAGAATTATCTTTACCTTCTAGTTTCTCAGTACCGCCAAAGTGGCCATCATGTTATCCTGAATAGAAGTGGCTATTTCCACATTGTTGTGAATAGTTTCTCTAGAATACTATTATGCCCAACCCACTTGAAAATTGGTTGGGGAGATGGAGCAGATGAAAAAGTCATTAACATAAACAGGATGTAATTACAAGATGAAGCTTCTGAAACTGTTGCTCTTCTCTATATGTCTCTTTATCTTGTAGTACACCACAGGCTGTCATTGTACATTTCTGGTTAGACAAAACAAGACTCTGCACTGTTGCTGCTTCCTTGCTCCTGAGAAGAAGTGCAGAAGCAGATCAAAGTTTGGTATGGTTTGTGTTGCAATATGTCAACAACGCTGTCTTCTTCACCAGGTGCTACGGGAAGAGCATTTCTATTCAACCGAGTGGTGAACCTACAGTACAGTGAGGTTCAAGACCGGGTCATGCTGACAGGACGCCACATGGTTCGAGATGTGTCCTGCAAGTTCTGCAACTCCAAGTTAGGTTGGATATATGAATTTGCAACTGAAGAAAACCAGAGATATAAAGAAGGAAGAGTTATTTTGGAGAGGGCTTTGGTACACGAAGTAGATGGTCTGAATGAGCCTACTGTGAATGATAGTTGACGTTAACATTGATCACTCATTATTGACTGACTGTTTTTCTTCTCCGGGCTGCTACCCGGATAGTCTGACACCTTGCGACTGAAAGAGTCATATCCTGGATGGTAATCCAACAGGGCAGATCCTCAATACTCTAAGGGAGCTATAATTAGTGCACCAGTCAGTTAATCATTGTTGTAGTCTTTTGAGTGTTGCTGATTCAGCGTCATCTCCTGAATCAACTTCTCGTCCTGTCTCCTTGAGAGCATTGAGAATGTCCGCCAGGTCCATTGCTTTTCCTGTACCTACCCTGGCCCTGCCAGCAAGCCAGTCCACTCATTCATTCCCTCCCAGAGTGTCCGGGCACAACAATGAAACTAATTTCTTTCAGACGACATTTCCTCAACGACTCCAACCATTTTCTTTGAATCCATCCTGTCTCTGTCATCTTAAGCTTGGCCATGGAATCAGAAATCAGGCATGGAAAAAAAATGCTGTATCTCACTACTTTAAGTCGAGGCAAAAGAACCGCTATCCTCTTTTTCAGTTTACCCTTGAACCAGAACCATGAAAGCCCATGAACTTTGTACGTGTCAAACGAAGGATCCATGAGTGTAGATAATTAGTGCACCAGTAATAGATGAACCACTTACTACTCCTAAAGTCTTCTTAAAGTCCATGCTGTGTTGCATTGGTTGTCATGTCTATCCACAACCTTCTGTCTCATGTATTTTCAATTAACTCTGATACAGTTGATCCTCTATGCTATGATATCAGACTCTCTAGCATCTTCTCTTTTGGTCTCCCTCTGTCTCTCTTCTCCTCTGACTTTCTCACTGTCAGGATGCACTCCAGCTTTCTCCTTCTCATGACATGACCAGAGAATATAGATCCTTCTCAAGTGGGCAGTCAGTTCTCTTCATGAGTCATTTTCTTTAAAGACATCTTTATTACTCTTTTTATCCATCCATTGTAAACGCCTAAGCTACCAACTGATGTATTTTTTATTTCTGTTCTTGTATAATTTCAGATTATGCCATGAACTCTTTAAAAAAAATGTTTTAGTAATGTAATTGCTAATATTCACTACATTACCATGTTTTCTTTTATCAGAAACACTTTTAGTAACATAAATAGTAAAGGATAATTTTCATACCATTAGGTTTTTTGGGAACATTGTGCAAGCTCAAAATTTTTATAGATAATTGATGATAGGTAGTGTTGTCCCCTGAGTGGGGTGCCAGGGGAGGGAAGAATAGGAGGGGGGAATTAGACCCACCCTCAACCAACTAAGCATGTTGTAGAGGTGACTAATTAGAGGTTTGGTGGCCGGCGTGATGCTGAACTCATCACCAGCCCAGTGCCGATGGTCTGTGAAATACAGGTCTAGCCCTATATGCCTGGAAACAGGTCCTTTACTTTTACTTAATTAGGGGTTTCCTGCAGATGTGTTGGGCTGAAAGAGTCAGATATCCATAGCCTTGCTGTAAACTATCCTTTCAAGGGTGAACACATAGGGAAGAAGATAATATTGTCAGTATCACACTGAATACCTTTACTTTCCCAAACATTTTCCTCATACCCATTCAACATGGTTGACCTAGGAGTCTAGGTTTAAGGTAAAGGGAAAAAGGGGGGGGGGGGGTGATGTGATTAACATCACGCCAGCTGTCTTTACTTCCCAGGACTTTCCCTTCTACCTATTTAAGGCTGGGTCAACTGAGAGCGAAGATCTTTTTTATTTTTCAAAGAACGACTCTGTTCAGATTTGAAGCCATGACCTTTAACCACTACGCCACAGACTGAGTTAAGGTAAATCAATGCATTGGGATGGCTTTGAACAGTCCTTTGACAACTTCTGTTGCCTTTGGTGTTAATTTTCATGATCTGTCCTCTGTGTTTTATTGTATTTCACCGATCCTAGCATACTGCAAATGAAGTTTTTGTTTTTTCTGCCGAGTGGGTTTATTTCTATGATACTGTCCCAAACTCATGTTATATTTGTTATTGTGTGATGTGTTTCATTGTTGGTCAAAGAAGAATACCAGGTAGTTTTGCACATGGAACTGATACAAATGTTTACTATGATTTAATTTTGCCTCATGAGATTGGAAGTATCAAATTGTTTATTTGTACAAAGCTATCATAAATCTCAGGTTTCAATGAAAGACATATGTTCTTTAAATTGGTATTTTTGTAAAGAAAAAAGTGCAAATACATTTTACTGTTTTATTATTTTCTTGTTGACTTCTTCTCTTCCTCCATTTGCCACAGTGAAGCGTACATGTGTGGAAGGGTGGGATAAAGATCATTTGTGAGCTGTTTGCACTGCACTTGTTAAGTTGGTCTGAATTTCTCTAGGATTGTTCTTGATGCCGACACTCCATTTCTTAGTTGTCTTCATCTTGCTCCATGGTGTCATTTTTTTTAACTGAGCTAACATACATACATTTATAAATGTTTCCCTCCAAGAAAATTTCCAATGAGATTCCCAGATGGAGAAATAAACACTGACAAATTATGAGTGAATTCCATTCAAAGAACTGAATACACAGTAGAAGTGGCCACTAGTATAGCTAGATGTCTTTAGCATGCTGTGACCAAAAGTACATGATGCCTAGGATGTTGTGCATGTTGTCTGTTATTGTGTTATTACTTAAGCAAAGTGTCTATTATATTACCTTATTACTTAAGCAAGTTGTGTATTATTGTGTTGTTATTAAAACAAGTTGTCAGTTATTGTGCTGTTATTGAAGACAGCTTTTAAGTGTTAAAAGATTTCATACCTTTGTGTTGCTGTGTATTTATGAGTGGAAATCCTATATGTATATAAACAAACACCAAGTATCATGTGTATGGTGATTGTAAACTCTATTTCATACAGAGGAGTGGATAGCTGAGGGGTATGATTGTCAAGCCCAGATATCAGGTGATGTATGTTTGGCAGTGTAAAGACGTTCAATATTTTTGTTTGACCTAAAGCCAGGGAAAGTTGGAAAACAACTAAAAATATGAAACATAAGTTAATTAAATGCATTTTTAAAAAAAAGAGATACCTGAGAAAATTGATGAACATTAAATGGGATGCATTTTATTTTTAAAAAGCACATAAATCAGTCTTTACAGCTGCTTGTACTAACAGTGATAAAAGAAAGAAGATAGTGGTATGCTGGACACTTTATGAGACAAAGCAGACAATGAATCACAGAATAGGCACTGAGGTGGGAAATAAATGGATTTAGGAAGGCTGACTAAGAGAAAACTGCAATGAATGTTTCAGTAAAAGATCAGAGAACTCCGACATTATTCCATGCACAAAATGAAAAGGATTACAGTGGATAGGATGAAATGGAAGAATTGACTTCAAGCATTATCAATGGCATAACATGAAATGTTATATCGAATAGCCCAGAAAGAGACTACAATTATACACGTATCATTTCTGAAGTTGAAAGCTTTGTTGTTATCTAGGGTAGTATTAAATAGGCGTGGATAAATTCTTGTATTTAGAGGCAGGGATTGGAAAGAAAAAGAGTATGACATATGAGTGCCCTAAGAATCATCTTATTATAATTCCTTACCCCTGTGAGGTTTTTAAAATAACTTTCAGTCGTCAAGTTATTCCTCAATTTTTGACATGTTCACCGCTGTAAACTTTAGTGGCAAGTTGCATTTGTTCATTTTGTTCCAGAGTTTTGCATGCACATCATTTCACAGATCTGGCTTTTTTTTGGGTATGCAGACTATTGGTTCCTTGCCTTTCAAGCAGACACACTCTGACTTTGAATGAAACACCTCTAATTAGTCGCCTTGTATGACAGGATTTTTGAGGGGAAGGGGGTGCATATACCCCCCCCCCCCTACTCTTAGGAGCAGTATTAAAATATAAGAGCGGCAAAATATAATCTCAGTTCAGATTTGTTACTTTATCCTCAGTAACCGTGGGTAAATAATGAAAGTCTGTGATATATTTTATTAAGATGAACATTATAACCTCATCATAATCTTCCTGTTGCAGCATTATACATCACACAGAGCTTGCAGTCAACTCTTTTTGTTCTGTCCTTGCAGTTTCTTTCTATATTGGGGTCTAGTCTGGCACTTCTGGTCTCTCTCGTCTAACATTTGTCATAGAGTTTCTCTTGGACATCCTTGCTTTCATGGTCCATTTACAAGAGAGCCGGTCCAAGGCACTAGTTTTGGTGCAATTAACATTTCTTAGCCAACATAATTGTCACAACAAAACCAGACCACAGTTATAACTGATACTACTCGCAGTCGGTTGAACATGGTCAATGGGGGGGGGGGGGGGTGTTATAAATGATGAAGGATGGGGAATAAAGGAACCAACACTCCTACCTTGTAGGTCATGGCCTAGAATGTGAGAAGGTCTAACACTTCACTGCCCAGTGGAGGTGTCTGCAACAGGGATAGCAATTCATCTTCTCCTTGACTTAGGTACGACAAAACTATTCCGGCTAACAAGTCATAAGTCAAAATGGACGTAAGTCGAATTGATATTTTTTCAACACTATTTTTATTCAGTCGGGTTATAACAATTGTGCATAAAACACACAAATCCAATTTATGTTCATGTAATTCTTGTACATAGGCATCTATGTAAACTCTAGGTATTAGTCCTGGGAAGTTGTTGACCCTACTAGTTGTTATTTATTTCCAATTTTTTGGGGGCGGGGTATGGGGGGTCATAGGTCGCGAGTCAAGGAGAAGGTGTATTTTTAATCTTAAAACCTCTTATATTGACATCATTTGTTTGTCACATACTTTACAGTGTAATATTATGTTACAAATGTGGTATCATCAGTGAACAACTCTCTTGTGATTTATTGTGTGGCTTTGAATAAATACTTTGTGCTGAAACATCACTGGTAATGTTTTTTTTTAAAGTAAATACTTTGTGCTGAAATATCGCTGGTAATGTTGTTAGGTGCTTTATTATTATCTGATCCCAAACAGGGGAAATCCACAGATCACGGGACAGTCTAATATTTCAGGGGGTGGTA